AAATAATTAAAATTCTAATTAATTTTTTAGATATTATTATTATTAAACTGATTAAAATTCTTTTAATTTTCAAATGCTACATTTAATTCATAATTTTTAATTGGCGATATTTTTTCGTTTCATCTTGCAAAAATTGCATTCCAAAATTCCATTCTCATAGCTTTCAAGCATATGCCAATTATGTTTGGCTCTTAACGTTAACTTGCCTAGAAAAAAATACAAAATTAAATTTATATAAACATAAAAACGATAAAATTTGTTAACAAAAATTACACTACACAACAAATCTGTTGGAAAAATTTTCTGCGTTTGCTTAAAAACATTCGAATAAATGGATTCGGGTGTTTTCATTCAAAAATATATAATAAAGAAAGATTAATTTAAATTTTTTTTTTAATTTAGCTAAACTCTTGCTATACTTTTATCCATACTACAAATATTTGTTATTTTGGGCTTTCAACAATGAAATTAATTTGCACTTTATGCAAGTGACCGCAATTTCACGCAATTTTTAAACCAATCATTAGTAAACTCACTCTTATTCTCTCTAGAATTAATTATTATTATTATTATCATTCATGTTTTTATTAATATCATTAATATTATTATCATTATGTCTATTATTATTATTTTACTAATTCCTATGCTAATTATTATTATTAATATACTACTTATAATTCTACTGCTTATAATTACCATATAATAATGCATAATTTTCAATCGTACAGTCCGCATGCATCATGGCGTTCACATACATATGTACATAAATTCAGAAAGGACCCAAAAAAGAAATGAACTCTAGTGCCTAAATATTATAAATTCTTATTTTTGTTATTAAAAAAAAAAAKAAAAAAAWTCTTGCGCCTGCATGTGTAATGATTACAGAAATTATATATGGTATTTATAAAAACACMTGTATTCTCAATGTACCCGCTATGCATAAGATAAGATAAAGATAAAAATAATTGAGGAATGCACCGCGAACTTAGGTCCATTGTGACCACTCCTGGCTCACAGTGACTCAATTAGCCCCAGCATATTGATGAAGTCCAATATCCTACTGGGTGCTAACGAGGCGATGTGATCCCTTTCCAGATACATGGACCCAAGGGCCTTTGACCTGCGCCTACAAACTGCAACGCAGTCGATTAGCAGGTGCTCCGGCATTTCAAGCTCCCTGTCGCAACCCGCTATGYATACTCGTACATGGATTTTATCTCGACGTCCGCATGTGAAAAGCTGCAGAAATTAATATTTAACAAATCCTTAAATATATGTATGTATGCGCTTAAATAATTTATCTGAAGCAAGCAAATCAAAAAGGATATCTGTATTCCGCAATCAAACAAATAGTACCAAAAATTTGCGTCGCATACTCCGCTACTAACCTTAAATTCATCTTAATATCGGCTTCATAAGTGTATTAATTTATTAAAATATCAAAATATAAAGAAAAAAATGTATAGTTTAATAATTTGTTTATGTAAAGTAAGTGAATATTTTTTAAGTTATTAATAAAAAGAAAAATTGTTTGCTGTAAAGCTAATTTCTAAACTTCTTTATGAATTATAAGTACATATAAATGTTTTTCGTGACAAAAATTAAAAAAAAAAAATAATAAAAAATGAAATATTAGTAAGTAGCAGAAATGAAATGAAGTTCCACATTAAAGACTTAAGCCATTTAAAAAAAAATTCATATAATTTATTAATATTAAAAGCAATTAATTTACTGCTGCCAAAAAAGCACGTAAGAAAAAACTGAAATCATGCCAACATACTTCTTTATTTATGTAAATGTAAATTATAAGTATATTCAAACTGAATTACTAAAAATTAACTATAATTGTTAAGGAATTACGTTAACTGTATTTCATGCTAATTTTAATTACTTGCATAAGCACTACTTTAGTACATACACACATACTTACATATATGGAATTTATTATTATATGGTTTTCACTTTGAAAAGAAGGAAAATATTTATTTTACATTAAAAGAAAACAAAATCAAAGCATGCCACAATGAAGCAAGAAAAACACAGATTTTGTAGTTGCTAGCCAGCAAATATATACTCATGTATGTATATATAGTTATGTATAATTGTAGAAAATAGCTTATATGTATATGGAAATGTGAGGTGTTTCTTTCAAGGCTTAAATAGTTGTGTAATTAGTAATTATAAATGTAACTACTCCTATTAATGGTTGAAACGGCGCTGGTCAATTACCAAGCCTGGCGCTTTTATTATAAATTTTAATATTGAATTCAAAAGATGAAGCAATAATTTTTATGCAATAATAAATAAAAAAGAACGTGGTTTTCTTGTTTATGCAAAACAATACAAAAAAAAACTGTTTTTCATTGAAATTATTTCAACTAGGAATTTTTTTTTTGGCAATTGAAAGCGCTGTAGCGGCACATAATCTAAGCGCGAATTGTTGATAAAGCAAAAGTCTACAACAACATAAGCGCAATTACCGAACCTTACCTAACTGCAGAGGGGACACGGCAAGGATCCGATTTTGATCCGACGGACTGTCAGCTCAGTGGCATTCTTCAAATCTTTCAGGAATWTTTTTGCCGCTACAACAAAAACAAATACTATAATATAATATTATGTGGGCGCATCATTATTTAGTTTCTTTTTTGTTTTAGTTTTAAAATCAATTTAGTCGTCTAAAGTGTCGATATCAAAGTCAGCATTCAATAAAAGAGCTAATGTTGACGTTGTTGGTGTAGCTTTAAATATTCTCCATATTCGTGATTATATAATTAATCGTCTGTTGCAGATCCAAGTGTCAAGAGAATAGAATCCAAACGCCATCAACCGTTCCCACGACAGGTCGGTCTACTTAACCGAAACGGACCTGGATTTTTGTCCGACCAAGTACTGTGAACTCGGCAGAGTGCAGAAAACAATTTATTGTTATAGCGTCATAAACATGACATTTTGGAGTGTACTTGCGTGTATTCAGAGAGGTAGAGACATTAGTCGAATTTAAATCCACGTACATTAGTTAGACGCCAGGAGTTTGCTGAGAATGGACCATGACATACGGTTTTGCACTACCGAAATTAAACTTGGCTGCAACCGGCCGGTGGTTAGATCAGTAGATTGTAGTTTACAAATGAGGAAATTTTGCATTTGCGAAGAGATACATTTATAATAAACATTCCTCTGCGCCGTCATAARTCTAAACTTAGTCCTAACAAGTACGACTATTTATTACAATACTCGCAATATTGTCGTACTCTTACCGTTACATTCTCTTTTCAAAAACATACAAAAAAAAGTTATTAAAATTATATTTTCCACATATATTTTTCTAACTAAATGCTGTAAAATAGCCGTTTTTATTATTGTAACGTTGCGCCATAATTATTGTTTTAGTATTTCATATATAATATATTATATATACATATATGTATTTATGTGCTTAAGCTAATATCGGTACAAAAAAGTATTATTCACATATTAAATGTAAAAATGCATGTTAAAGTGACTGCGTACGACTGTTATAAATAATTATCAAATTTCAAACTAAATAGCTTAATAGTTTTAACAGACGTTATGCCGTTTAAAAACATAAATTCCTATTAATTAAAAATATTTCAAATTTCACAACAAATGTTATTATGACAATATCATATAATGTGGACTTATTATATATTAGTTCGACGCTTTAAATACGCACTACTTTCATAACATAATTTCAGTCGTAGTACCAGTCAAGGAATAGTAAAGCAAATGACATTACTAGCAAGAAGAAAAGTGACCACACACGTAGGCCGGCATTGCGTTGTATGGCTTGCTTGATCTGCTCATTAGCATCTTTAACATTTTCCGTTGCACCAATAACGGCGTTTGCGATACGCTCAATATTGTGTTGCTGTAGTGAAACCTAATTATACGAAGAGAATACAAATTTTTTAATTAAAATATAAAAATATAATTTTCTTTAATATAAAACCCACCTTCTCAGTAAATATGTCTTGTAATTGCGCAATGTCCACCACATTTTTCTCAATTTGTTCCACCTCTTCAGCCACACCTTGCAATTCATGGTACAGTTGCATATTCTCCTGTTCGAACATTTGCACATCTTCAGGTGAAAGCGTTTTCGCTGCTTCAGCCTCATCTTCCAACTGCTGTGACTTTTGTAAATCCTCGTCTACGGCCACTTTTTGTGTAGATTTTGTTGTCTTAATCTCACCGCCACTACCAAAATTATCTTCTGTTGTGGCATGTGGATGTCGATGTCGTAGTTGTGAACCATTCATGTTTAAATTTTCATCGCCACTAATATATCCGTTATTACTAGCAACAGCCGCATTATTTAGTTCGTTTTTATAACTTTTAGCGCTTAAGTCATCGTCATCTGCCCAATCGCCTTGTAAATCTGACACATCTTCAACCAAATCACTGCGTGGTCGTAATTCGTCAACTACATCATCAGCGTCGTTGCTGCTGCTTGTGGACTGTCGTATTAAACGTTTTCCACTATTCTCACCAGCTGGTCGTACTGGTATTTTCTTCTTATCAGCTGCCAATTTTAGTAATTTATAGGTTTCCAATTCATATTGCACACGATAACGTTTTTGTTCTAAGTAGATTTGTTGTACACTATGTAGATAGCGTTCTAACAAATCGATTACTGCTTCAATATGTTGTTGCTGTTGTGCTTTTCTTTTAGCACGTTTCCAATCGGTGCGCATTTGTGCTAAATGCTGTGTATAGTATGCTACAAATTTTTCTGATTCTCGATCAATTAGATCACGCTGTTCATCGCTCATATGGGTCGCGCTCTTCAGGTGTTGACCTACACGCATATACGCTGCACGATTCTCCACCAGCACATTACGCAATGTTGTAATTTTATGACACACATCCTTTGCTTGTTTTGTGAAGTCATCGCGACGACCAGCTCCAGCAGCAGCGCCACTCTTGGGTACACTCCGTTGTTTGTCTACGGTTTGTGCTGGCAGTTCACCTTTGCGCTGTAATTTTACTGTCATTACACCGGCTTTGAATTTTTGCGTTATATCCATTGTTGAGAGATGGGTTGGTGCAGCTAGAATTCAATGCTACATTAAGGTAATAGGAGAGTCTACAACAAAAAAGTTATATTTTTATGACTGCCTTATATATTTACGAATGTTTTGTGTAAATTATAAATTTTTAGAAACCACGTCCACTGACACATCACTGCTTTGTTACGTTTGACAGCTGCCGTCAGCTGTTMGTATTAGTGTTGATAAACGGTGGTTGTAAATATGCGATACTTGTTCGAGACTCGTTTAAAATCAGCGGAAATTAATATTAGTGAAACGTTTAAAATGGCTTCCAAATAATTTGACAAAGAGTTTTTATTTTATTAGCAAATAAAGTTTAAAGAGTTAATATATTTGCTAACAATTTTTTTGAGTATAAAGTGCTTTTAAAATTTACCAATATACGGATTTGTTAAATATTGTGTACTTAATTGTAAAATTGTATTATGTGAAGTTCAGCTTCGGCTATGAAACTAAACACCACAATTTCAGCCGGAAAGCAAATATATCTGCATGCATGGACACATCCTCTACCAAACGGAACAAATTCGACTTTTGTGGAAAAGCGTCATTTGTAACAAATGGAAAAAAATAAGGAACTCAGCTACGACGAAATTTGAGGTTAGTGCTGCACTAGYTTTCTATATGCAATTTATTTTCGATTCTATAGTTTTTCCACTGCCGGAACCTAAATATAGTGTTTATATCAATCTATAGAAGTTTTAGTATTACTACTGAGAATATAACACTAAAATATTTATAACGTAGGAGATATTTATAACTTCAACTGAACAGCGRCATCAAATGCGGTCTGTGCCTTACATGGAAATCGTAGGGCGTTTGGCAAATACTTCTAATTATATATTAATTTAGATGCCAGCAAGTTTACGTTGCCAAAGATATGTACTGTCTGTAAACTAGTCTTTTCACAGTCAATCAGGCAAATACTGCATTAACAAATTATTGAACTAATCATTTTTATTTTATAGTCCTAAAAATCTTAATCAAAAATAGTTTTTAAACCTATAATCCCAAAAGGTGATTTGAAAAAAAAAACAAAAACATTTAATACAAAATTCCTTAAAAAAATGGAAACAAAATTCAGCGAAATTTTTTAATTTTAAATTTTTAATCACAAAATCAGGGCATGGGTGAAAATCTAGTTTWTAATTCAAATATGTTGAAGTAAAAAATTCGCAACCATACTGTCAAAAAAAAAAAAAACTCGGAAAATTAATGACTAGTTTAAAAATTGTTTATTGCATCTTAAAAATGGTGAAAAGAAAATTTAATTACTAAATATATTTTGTATTATACATTTATTTTAGGTACATTATTATACTCATTTAATCATTGTAGTGATATAATTGTAAATTACATATTATGCAGATATGATTATGGCCAAAACTYGCTATTCCATATAGACAAATTAAAATATTACCAAGTAAAACTCATTGAATTATGTGTACTGTTTGTTTCCGATAGGTTTCAGACCTTGTACTATACGTGTCGTTATAAACGTTACCAATAATGATTTAAGGCCACGGACATTTATTGTGAATGTAACACAATTGAGCTAGCTTCTACACCAATATTTGATGAAGATTCAAACGTTATCTTATTAATGAACATTTTTGCCATCCCAAGTCTTGTCCCAACAGTTCTTTAGTTATAATTTAATTTCTGCTTWTATCAGCTCATTTTTGCGTATGAACATGTACATATGTATGTATGTATGTACTGAGGAGGCTGATGACATTGGCTGAATGCAGCTTAATCAATATTGCTGATGTTATGRTCAATTGGTTTAAGATCGCTAGTTAACAGCTGTTTCATGGACATATTCACGTATTTTTCTCTTTTGATTTGTATTTTTTTTCAATTTTTTACTATTACTATAATTTAGATACATGTTTTTTACATTTTCTTTAAAGCATTTTTTATATATATATATCATGTTTTTGTTATTGATTTATTGTTTATGTTATCCAACTGTACAGCCAGTTTGACTAAGCTCGACACACAATTATTTTAACATTGATAAATATTTTATTTTTATTAATAAATACATACATACATATGCTTGTATATTGGTGTGTACAATATTTTGCGCTTAAATCACTAAATGTAAAAATAGTTTTTTTTTTGCTATTTTACAACATTACAATATTTAATAAAAAGAATACAATAATAAAACAAAGCGAAAGAACTTATAGTTCTCTCTACCCGCCCAACTAACTATATAAATCTGTCGAATTCGTCTGTAT